GTAGGTTGAAAAGGAGTTAAACACAAAAGTCAGAGTGCGTGAGCTATGTAAAAGAAAAGTGGGGGTCTAATAATATCTGTTTTTCCGAAGTATACAGTTAGTTATCCAGTATCACAAACTGGAGCAAAGGATACCTCGTTGTTGTATGTAGAGTAAGTTCTTAAAAAGTGATTATACAAACCTATCTGGTGACAACTCACAAGGCACTCATTATTGATGCCTTTGTCTGAATGGAACTCCGTTGGATTCCCGTTGAATTTAAGCAACGAAGAGATAAAATTACGACCAAGCGTTCCTAAAAGCAATAAAATTGCATTACGCTTTTTTGTGAGGCGTCGCCAAGTGACAATAATTTTTTCACATAAACTAGGCATTTGCATGGCTAAAAAGAGTGATCATACGTGACTAAATTAAGCGATATTTCCAGATATTATGATTCACCCTTGTTTTGAGATTTAAGACATATTGCTTGTATGAAAAATGTCGCGCATACGATATCAGCTGCGAGTAATTGTGACACTGAACCAAACCGCAAGAACACATTTATCGAAAGTTTTTGGCGGTCTGAGGAACAATCATTTTCGAAAAACGTCTACACCCAGTAAAAATTCCATAAAACTATCTCACTACAATGCAATATCTCCCATCCGTCGTTTTTTCCTCTGAACATCAACGTAGCGTGTGCAAAAGGTCTACACTAATAGCCGTTTATAAGGTTTTCACTTTTATAAAGTCCTCAACTAGGTCTCAGCAGTGGAAACGTCTTCTTACATATGCGTTGCCTCACCTCGCACTGACTACCTGCGATGAACTTCTAAACAGGGCTTCGTTAACCAGTACTCATTATCACCACAGTTTGTCAAAAGTAATTCGCAAGAAAGACAGAATGTTAGACTACGTGACTGAGTAATATCGACAGAGGAAATATTCCATGTATAATCACAACTCCAGAAATGCACAGATAAAGTGCGTGATCGTTACCATTGATAACAACCAAAAAGGCTTACCGGTCTTACTAGAGTCTGTGACGAAAGAAGCCATGTAGCTGTACAGAAAGGGTAAAACACCGTCAGGGCAGTTACATATTACACTTGTACTCATTACAGCTCTTTGCGAACCACGCATAATAAAGGCATACAAAAGTAAACACAATAACATCTGCCAACGGAAAATCAAAAATCCAGTTGGCCACCACTGTTCTAGCCAATGCAAGGCATGCAAAATTTTAATTTATGACATGGTAGTATTTATCCTCACCCTTTGGGAAATGTTCTCACCTATGGGGGCGCTGATTTTAACCTTTTTCTTTTTTAATAGAGTGGGTGACAGTCTGGCATTTACCTAAAGAACAATGCTTGAATAGAAGTCACTCAATCAACTAAAGAGAGTCAAAGTTTTCGTGCGTCATGAAACTATCTGAAAACAAGGTGAGGTAATGGGGATCATCATTCAACTGCCATCCATGGCTTTTAACATCGTGACATACGCACGCAGAAATCGTCGAGGGCTGCCCAAAACTCTGGCGTCATATACAAACTGCTTTAGATTACTCTTCATTCGGAGACAAGAATTTACAACACTATATTCCGCTAGCTGCAACACTGTCACAATGCCTTAACAAATATATCAATCTCATTTATTCATTAAGTCTGGCATCGCTCACTACAATTTCCGTCTTCTTAAAATGCTGTCAGTTTTCTGGATTTACACCAAAGCGTCTGGTCCTAATGGTGGTAATTTAAAAATCTGTTCCCCTTTTATTAAAGAGACATGGTGTCAATCACGTCTCATAAACCGTTAATACCCAGCTCTCGCTACGCTCGGGCCCACGCTGTTCTTCGAAGATTTCGGAAACGCTTAGTTATAACGGACGAAAAAACCAAAACACCGATCTGCCGCTTGAGATTTGTTTATTGTTACACCAACATGTAAAAGGAATAAGCGAACTAAGCAAACTAAGGTCTGTAAACAAATATTACAATAATAAATCTCTGTATTACTTCTGACGATGTTTCACTCTTCTTTCTGAACAGCGACCGATGAGACGATGACTGTCGTATTGATGCCTCCGCGAAAATTGGGGAAGTTCATTTTGAGCAAACAACCATGAATTGATCGTTCAATCTTCAACTCCATTGAGACATGATCACACATTTTATTAACCTTAATCTATAACATTTCACCACAGGCTTTAGGCAACTTATTATCAGCACTTACGTTACTGTTCTCATCCATGCAATCTCATCCCTTCTCTGGTCCAGGCATTACGAAGCTGTACTAGGACCCTGAAATTTCATGATTCAAGTAATACATGTCCAAAGAAGAGGGGTTTGAAACCAACTCTAGCATAGGAAGTATCACTGCGACTTCTGCTGTCTAAATGGATCCGAAGAAACCAAAATAGTAACTATCAGCGGTTTCAAACAAAGAAACGTGAACACTACACCGCATTACCAAGGCGAGCAAATCAAAAAGTATAAACCCACAGGAACGATCAGCAACCTACAAAGGAGAGGGATCTGAAAACGTTGATATACCAGCTTCAATGACTCCCAGGCCCATGGGTCCTGAAACAGTTGAGAACACTATGAACTGCAGCCAACTCAAAAATATCAGAAGAAAAATTGGCGATTTGGAGGTTTCACTGTTTCTTAAATTCGGGGATTGTTTTCTGCTACGTCGATTGACATTAAACCATGACGAGACAATTACAGCACAAATGATTACGGTACCAAAAGTTACGGCTTCAAAACATTACCGGTTCAAACGGTCACAACTTCAAAGTTTCTGACAGTATTGCTCTAGTTATCTGCTGAACAGCAAGCGAACAGATCACATTAGGGATTGTAACCTTTAACTGAAAAGAAACCGGATAAAATATGCCAGTTAGTTGGACGCTTGTTGACTATCTAAAGCATTAGCAACTCCTGTATATGTTCACTAAATTCCTCTAACTGTCTAGATGGTTCACTGAAGAAGAGCCAGCGAGCAATAAGCCACTAACACCTACATTTGGGGGAAGAGCTCAACCATTGCGTCTCAAGGGATGCAAACTATTGAGTGACCTTGAGCCGACCAACTGACAGAGCTTAAAAACACGTTCAAGTTACAATGAGGAGTATCAGTTGCTAAGTACCAACAGTATGTTCATCTTTCTATTTCAGATGAGAAAAGCTTCATAGTAATGCAGGTTTTAGGACAGTGAGTAAGTAATGTATTCATATCTTTTTGCATTTCCCGTAGGCGAAACGCTTCCACCAAATTTTAGACACAGACGTGATATTTTCCTCAGGGGTTTTTCATCGAGCTTTCATGGTGAATATTACGTGGTAGTAAGGGATCACACCGAAACCATCTACAATGTTTTCGAAGAACTTTGTAAACCAGAAGTGGCAACAGAGTTATCACCGAAAGTGTAATTTTACTGCACTGCAGAAATAAATCAAAAAATTCCTACAGGTTGATAAGTTAACATGGAGCTTTTGCTCTTCACTTCACTCCATAAATAAAATAGGGACTACTAAACTAATCTTCAACCATGGGGTTTGGTAGTCCCATATTCAGTTCTTCACTTCATAATGTATGTGAGTTGCCTAAGAATACTATGTACATAACATCTAATGCTTCCTGACTTAAAAAACTTCTTGTATAACCTAACTGGTATAACAGTGACTTAGCGTATTCCCTCGGAAACTTTTTATGATCACTGGTATGGGAGCAGAGGGTTAACTTCTGTTGCTGACAGAAGTAGGCGAGTTTATTATATATAAATGTAGGCGAGAACATACTGACGATTCTAGCACCTTACGTTCCTGTATTGTCAAAATCGGTTGGTTAACAACTTGAAGGTGGCAAAGACACAGAAATAGCTGGAATAACCACCGTGAAATTCCTTACCGAAGATCCTTGCGAAGTTTGTGATTATTATCACAAAATTTTAAAGAACAAGATGTGTCCCTTTATATATAAACTTTGTTATGTTAATTTCGATTAATTTCCCTGAAGAAATTCGGACCAGATTGCCGAACAAAACGTTGGAATTAATCATTTCGATTTCGCTGAGATTTTACAAATATAACTTTATAAATGTTTATCACAAATGGTTATTAAAAAATCGCTGAGCCACAAATATGGACACAAGTAATAATACAAATCCACAAAAGAACTATTTCAACATCGGTCTTGGGAACATACGCCAAATACACTCAGTTATGGCATAAGACATATTCAAGCATTATGCTGTACGGACAATGCATTTATACCAAGAGAGAGAGAGAGAGAGAGAGAGTGAGTGAGTGTGTGTCAAGCAACGATTCTTATCGAAACCAACCCGAACAAAGGCAAATAAATATCGAAATTGCGTCAAATAGTGTCCTAGACCAGACGAAACAAACTGAGACTGACTGGAATCAACCAAGCCACGAAAACATCTATTGAACTAGGCCATATAATTGCCACCTTTTATAGTGACTGTAATATTCTAAGATCCTCAGAAGACAGTGACTTTCAGTTATTTAGGATTTTCTAGATATTTTTCAGTGACTGTTAAGTCCTGACGCTTGAAATATGTAGGTAGGCGAAACCAACTTGTGGAGCGTTAGGGTGTCCTGAGGTCTTGAAGAATCCGCTTCCAAGCTTATTAGTAGTTTCTGGATGGCGAAATGCATTCCAGTTTATATCGGATGGTCAAATTCCACAAAAACAGACTGTTATTCAGCTCACACATTTGCTCAGTGTGCCCTGTCTAGTAGCTATCAAACTTATAACTCAAGCTTTGATGATGCACCTAGATAAAAGTAGCATGATCCCCCACCATTCCCATAAGCTGTTGTTGGTTCTGCATCTTTGACCGATATATTTAAAAGGATGCTACGTAAGCATAGATATTCAAGAGGAAAGAGCCCATGAAAGCTGCAAGTCTTCAATTGAAAGTCTGAATCTTAGGTTAGCTTTTAATATTCTCCAGGCGGGATATCTGAATTACTTGCCTCGTGTTCGAAATGGAAACTGGTTTACTCGTGGACTCACGGTCACTATCATTCCCTGACTACCCAGATATCGAAAAGGCATATGTTAACCACTTGTCCTCGAATGATCAACCAGCAAACAGAGATATATTGGTACAGTATAATTCGTTTTATTAATGAAATAAGAAACCAGGATCTTTAACAGAAGAAATTCAGAAAGCTAGAGAACATATCAAAACTTCTTTGGATCGTGTAAGTGTTTGTTAACATATTATACTGTTGCATTTACTTGAGTACAAATAATCCTAACTAAACACATAAGGAGTGTCATCTGTGACTTGTGCCTTAGTTATGTCTACTGATAATTACCATGGTAACTTTATGATGCACACAGTAGTTCCTTCTGTAAAATAATTTGTTTGCATGTATAATTATGTAAGATTCGAAGTTTCGACTATATTACTCTAAACATTGAGATCTAACTGAATGTTATTTCACCTCAGGTTTCTGCTTCCCGGCCATTTGAAGTGTCACGTTTAGATGAATTGGAAAAAAGTAAGTCATTATTTTTTTTTGATTTACAGCTTGATTCCACACTGTATTTTCGGTACAAGTATGGAATTTTCAGCATGGATATCGGTAGCCCAAATTTTGCAGGCCGACCATAGATATCAGGTGTGCGTCGGTGCGGGCTCGAACCCCGGAGCATGTGCATGGTCGGCGAGAGTCCTAACCACTGTGCCACCGACGCACATTATGTGCATTAATTAATAATTCCAGACGCGTTACTCTACTTGTTACGCCTAATTATGTTGTGTTAGAATAAAACCCGCTAACTTTTATTTTTCTAAGTGGATCGTATTTCCTTACACAATAGTCGAGCCGTGTCTTCAGCTGATTGACATCTATGATAGTTAACTATTGTCTCTTTGGAACGTTTTCATGCCGTTGTCACTGATTCATGGGCAGTTATTGTAAGTCAGTCTATTAGAAAGTTAACGAATTCATACACCAGACTGTTACTTAAGACGTAGTTTTTTGAGCAAAGGTTGTTTTGCCAGGATTGTAAGCAAATTGTGTGCTAGAAGCTGCATCTCTGATAGCTTTAAATCCTGCTTTATATAGGAATTTGTTAAATTAATTTGAAATTATCAACCTGTCGAAACAGGTTAGCTGTTGAACGCCCTGCATTGTTTCGTGTCATGTTTTAAAGTGTCTCAACTTTAATCCATGCGGTGTTTGAATTTAATTTGTCAGACGGTTCTGTTTGTCGTTTATATGTCATTTATTTATGACACCACCTGTGGGGTCAACTTGCCTTTTCTTACAAAGTCTGATGCACGCGAATTAGCCGATTACAAATAGTTAAATTCGAGCAGGGCGTCTATCACTCACTACATTGTGAGTTTAATTCACTCTACATGTGCCGATGCCATTCTGTCTCTCTGAAATAGCTTTTTAAGGGTAAAATCATAATTTCTACCGATATCTGTTAACATACTGATAGTAATTTTGGTCACTGCAGTCCATGATGAACTGGTGGGTACTAGCAAGTCCTGTCTTGTTATCCCGCACACCCAGGGCATTCAGTCGACATCATTTTCATCTATATGAAGTCCGTTTGCCTTTTACATTAGTTCTACATAATTTTGACTGGACTCTTGATATATGTTAGTTAACTCGTCTTCACAAAATATATTCAATGGTGACCACTCACGACAATCTTGTTTGGCTTCGTAAGTCCAAGGAAGGTGTCTTGATTCGTGTAGCACGTTTCTGATAACTGATTTCATGAGTATACTAGAATCTGCTAAGTTAGTTTATATCAAAGTGAACAAAATATTTGACTACTGGTGAATATGAACCAAGAATCTAAATTTGATAACTGAATATAAAATAGCGTAAAGATGCTAACGTCTTTTGATACTTTCTGATTTTTTTACTCAGTCGTTTCCAATTTGGTTAATCGCATATCCGAAATTGAGTCGCGATTAGGGAGCTTGAAGATAGTGGATGGGTCTGGCGAAACGAGCAAAAAACCAGCTGAAGACGATGCAGTGTCCGATCTTTTTGGTTCAGATAGCGAGGTATGTTCTCGGTATGTTTGAAATAACTTCAGGATGATCGAGAAGCCGAACGTGTCCGGGCTGAACGAGAGGCTGCTTATCTCGCTAAGAAAGCCTCAAGTAAGTCATTACTTAAATGTGTTATTTCTTTATGTGCAATAATCCCTTTGATACTGTCGCTTAAATAGTTTAGTAAACAAATCAAAAGTTTACTTGGAATTGAGTTTTACTGCTTAGCTTGTAATGAATTGAAGAACATCCTACTATGACATCAATTTTCTCTCCATTCAGTCTGTCTGTTTGTAGTCGACATTGAACTTTGCACATATGTGCGACAGTTCGAGTCGCCACACTCCATGTTGCACACAAAGCAAGAGAACAAAGTAGGAGAAATGCATAATAGAGACAGTGAACAGAAGTGTGAGACAAAGCAATAGTAATAACGAAGAACAATATAGTTTCATTGGAAATCATAAGTCACGGAGTGGATGCATCTGCGCCATTGAGCCATATCACCAATTGTTTCCAGCCATTGGTTTTTACCGTCCCTAGGACCCCAACCAGGAAGTCTACACATTCCTACGTGGCTTAGACTGTTGTAAATTTCATTGGCTGGTGAGGCCATGTTTTGGTTTGACCTCCACTAGCTCTTTTCCAGCCTGACCCTATGTCAGCTAACATTGCCCGTCACTCGAGGAAGGCGATGACTAGGCATACGTAACATGTCCTAACCATCTCAGTCTTTGTAACTTCAAAACCTCGTCGATTGATTTCCCCTCCTTACCTAGAACTCGACGCCTAACCTCAATGTTGCTCACCTTATTATACCATTTCACACAGAAGATAGAGCGCAGGCACCTATGATCAAAGATAGCTAATGTTTTCATGTCTTCCACTCTCAATGACCAGGTCTCAGTCATAAAGGAGGACGGAGCGGACTGATGAGCAGTACGCCCGCCCTTTGGTCGACAGCCGGATATCACGTCTACGCCAGAGACGGCGTAAACTGTCATATGCGAAACAAGCCCTCTGTATCCGTGCTGAGATTTCGTCAGAGATCAACCCGTTGGCGTTGGCTGATGGTACTTCCCAAATAAATGCAGCGGTTAACGTGCTCTACCAAATCACTCCCTATTTCTAAACTAGGAGTCATTGTGGTCCAGTCCTGTAACATCATCTTGCATTTGGCGGGAGCTAATCGCATGCCAAACATTCGTAGATTGCAGCTCAAGGTGTTCAGTACTTACTTTAGTTTACTTCGGCTATCTCCTACGGGAGGATGAACCGGCTTCATGAACATCTCGAATGTTTGTAAGAGAGTTGATGAAGTTTCATGGGAATTGGGTACGAGTGATGTCCCCAGCATCGCTCGGCCTTTTGTTTGAGAGTACAGCTCTAGCCTTTACACAACCAAGTGTGACCTACAAGGCAGTAGGAGTGGAGTAGGGAGTCCACTATCCATTGGCAGCCGATGACCGGAGTCCGGTTCATACGCCTTTTTGAATGGGGCCAGACATCCAACAAGCCCTTTGTCCATACGTCTGCCGGTGAGCTTCATACGCCAGTCGTTGGAGGTTTGGAATCAGGGTTTAGACATCTCCCCTAGACTGTCATCCAATGGACAGTCAACCCGGTGAAGAGCGCCGGGCATCCGCTTTTGCCCTCTCACTTCGGTGAAATAAACACCTCCGCCACGTGAAGGCAGTGAGTAGGACTTCCTCAGGAAAGGCTATGTAAGACGCCCGGTCATATGGGAGCATTTCAAGAGGTGTGCGGAGGGGTGGCTAACCCGGAGCGCAAGGCACCCACCCCCGACCATCCTGAGGCTTTGGAGGCAGAGTGTCCAGTATTGTATCACAATTTAAAATATACATATGCCTTGTTCCACAAAAGGCACTGTTTAACCCACATAGGTGCTGAGTGAATTCAGGAAATTTTAGTTGATAAAATCCTTTCAGATGCTGAATCTGAAGTCAGGAAGATGAGACTATTTCGATTAACCGTTATCACGTCGCATTTCTTAGTAAAGTTTTAACATTTGAGTATAAGCAGTTTACAAAAACTGGTAGTATTAGCGGTATCATTTAATGGCTACCGTGCGCCTATCTGAGTCATGAGAACTAGAAGAATGCCGACAGTGAAGTAAATCGATGTTAAACCAGACAGACTTAAGAATCATGCAGTTTTGAAGTATTACTTTTGTGTTCATCACTGTTTTAATATTTTCGGTATATGTGCATTGTGTAGAACTATGCGGAGTGGTGATTTATTTATTGTAATCACATGCCAACTTTTAATTTGTTACTGTTTAGAGCCGTCTGTTATAGCCAAATCAAGCATCGTCCTTGATATTAAACCATGGAGTGATGAGGTGGATATGGACGAGCTTACCTCTTTGGTTAAAAGTATTCAAGCTGACGGTCTTTTATGGGGTCAGTCCAAACTAGTGCCCGTTGCTTATGGTATCAAGAAGCTTCAAATTTGCTGCGTTGTTGAAGATGATAAGGTTAGTTTAATGAAGGAATTGCAAAATGTTTGTTGCTGAACTATTTTCTTTGAACCTAGGTGTACTAGCGCGCTAAAAATTTCGACTGTATTTTCTAATTGTATTCCTAACGTTAAAGGAATGCAATTAACTCTAATTAAAATACTGATATTATTATTTTTTAGATGTAGTTAACTGTTCTTTTTCTTATTTTCAGATTGGAACTGACTTCCTTGAAGAATCTATAATGATGTTTGAAGACCATGTTCAGTCAGTTGACATTGCATCATTCAACAAATTGTAATGATACAGAATGCGTATTTTAATATTGTTTATACATAGGTAAATGTTTCACTCCGTGATTGTTTTTTTCCATGGCGATTGTTGTACTGTCCGAAGACGATATGGTGCTTACGTGCTATTTAAAAACTCGCAACACACTCTAGAATTCATTTTTAGGATGAGATGCGAAGTGTTTTAAAAATCAGGTGCCGGGTAATGGGGTAGGAGAGAATGTAATTAAACCTTGTACACATAATCTGACTAGTTGTATTGCAACATGGTATACTGTGTTCACTTATCTATCATGAATCCGAGGCATTATTGCAGTTTACATATTTCGTATAGTTAAACTCAAAGAAATAAGTCGAGTTTCTGAATGAGAATGTATTGATAACAGCCTATTGTACTTTCAGGTGTCTAAAGAAAATTGAACTGTAACTAATTGCTGATTTGATCCTTTTACCGTCGAGTGTTACTTCAACTGGAACTTACCTCATAAATGTACTTCATTGAACGCTTGGTTGAAGTATCGTTTTCCTATTGTATCTGTAGCGGCAGATGAGAGAAGTGGTAACAGACATTTTATTAGGGGAAAAGGCATCATATTTATATATTTTTAACTACATCAAAGGTCGGCTAGGTCAGCGGACAGTTAACTATCCTGATTGGTTGGCGATTAACCCAAGGTTAGGCAAAGGGACGAAAAGTTGTCCAATGAGATTGTAGATCATAACATAAACTAAATCCTAATTTGAGGAATAAACAGTACACTCTTAACATGTCGATTTCAATTTTTGGCCGCTTCTTATTGACGGGTATGAGATTTATCATTAGTTGGCCTAAATGACAGAATTTACAGTGATAAGCTGATGCTTCACATCAGATCGAAATATTCTGATTATCAAATCAGGCTGGATATATCAACGTTCTTCTGCATTCGATGGTATACTGGCATGTACACCACGTTGTATGGTCTTGTGAATGAGTGGGGGAATTAGACAGCTGTCGTAATTGATTCAGAAATCACTTGTCATCAACTACCTAAGATCTGGTGTCTGTATACAAGACTGTATCATTAGATGGAAGTGAGTATTCAGGAAATCAGTGTAGTGGGATACTAGTCACCACATAATGGTGATCTCTTCAGTTTTTGCATATATGTAGTCAACCAGGTTGTCATAACACAACAAACGATGGATGGGTACTTTAACTGGAAAAATATCGTTTTCAGAACTAATCATCTTCAGTTTTAAGCGACTGAGTGGAAGCAGTATACAACGACAAAGATAAACGTGTCGTGTTTGCACACATCAATAAACCTAAGCTTTGTCAGTTCATATTGCCAAAGACTGGTTTGAAATTAGTTTGTAGAGCAGATTGTATTCACTTCATAGTATTTCACTCAATTGTCGTCTGCGTGCTATTGATTAGAAACTCGTGTTAGTCTGTACGGTCACGATTGTATTCAACTAGTGTATTTTAGCTAACAGAGACTTGAAATTCTTGTCATACACGGGTGTTTCTGCAACCTCTCCACTCGAAAAGTTAACAGCATACACAAACTGTAGGTGTTGTGTTTTATAGAAAACGTCTTTTCTATCCCTGAATTTCTTTTATAAGCATATCACATACATATATGCTCGTTATCTGTTCAAATACCATACGCATCAAGTAAGTGTACAGAGTGAAAAGCAAAGTCAAAAAGGAATTGCATATTAGCATTATTCAACTGGTGTAAATAAGTTTTACAAAGTATTTAGTTTATTTAAAAAAGAAAACAAGACATTTTCTTAATAACAATATATAAAAAGGAAAAAAAAATCAAAAGCAAGTAGAAAAATCATACAGCGGTTATATATGGGGCTCCCCTGCATATGATGTGTGCAAACTGAAATTTTTCGCCGTTGTGTATGTATGTAATCAGCACTATCACAGTGTGAATGTATAGCGTTGTGTTTAGAAGATTTCCTTTTACATCAGTATTTAGATGTATATAACAGAGCGAATAAACTGTAAATAAAAAGCAATGTATATGATAAATATTATTAAGTGTCGGTTTTACGTGTGAACTTTAGTCAGAATTAATATATGCACACAATCATAATGCAAGTAAACAGCGATGGGATATTGTGAAAATCTCATCCAAAGATGCCTCTACTCAACAAGTATTTGCCTGCCCATGGCTTTTGTGCATTTGTGAGTGAGTAGTAGTGTAGTGACAGCTGGCTGTTAGCCAAAATTGGTGGACAGTAATTTACGTCAATGTTTGTGTCCCCAATATTGGTCGTGAGAAAAATGAGAACAAAGGCTTTGCGTAGGCGGATAAAGTTAACATATGGATGATCTGACATTCAAGAAACAGTCACAAAGAGATGCAAGGTTAACTTTCAGTGAGAAACAACCAATCAGAAGACTGTTTTTCTGCTAACAATAATCTATAATATGTACATGAAAATCTATAAATATGTGTTGATTTTCTTAATAAACGACCTGTTGTCTGGTCCTTGTCTTCTGTTGTTACAGTAGTACTATCAGACTTATGGTTAGTGCAGAGTTATGTAGCTACAAAATGAGCTCATTTCAGTATAATCCCAGTCAATTGGTTTAGGTGTTTATATCTACCCGGCAATAGCTGATATTAAACTTTCAGCTCAACAGTCGTAACTATATTTGTATAATACAGTAAGATAGATACGGTATAAAACTATCAGCCTATGGCCACGTGCTTTGAACAAGTCTCTAAATATTTCACGCTTTCATCGTTTAAGTTGCTTGACCGTAGACACCTATGTATAGAATGCCACAGGTGACACGGTTCAGAATCAATTGGACATCATCGCTTTTCGTCTTATAGAACTTCAACTGAATTATATTCATAGTGAAAGTTCGTCGTGAGATATAATAACAATTCAGTTTAGTCTTCGTCTGAATTAAAGATGAGGCTTGGTATGGTGACATCATAAGTGAACTGCCTATTGTACATATGAAGCTATGCTCTTGAAAATCAATAAAACTAAGACGGTACAATGCAACTTAATAAGCCAAACGGATAAATTTAAACTTACATCTTCAGCTCCGAAGACAGCTCGTCCATCTTTAGTACGTTCTTGTGCTTTAAACGTTTCGAAGACAGTTGATAATCGGACCAACAATAAGATATAATCATCGAATGATACTTGACCTTTTTCATTTGCATAACGACATGCAATTGCTTTATAGATTAAATTACTGACGTGGAAACCTAATGGAGGAGAAAAATTGATAACAGATTTACAGTAATGGTAACAGAGGAGCCTGTTTAAATTTGTACTAATCCACAGATTACTCTCCAATATTTATAAAAAAAAATGATGAGGATGTTTATCCAGAATATATTAGCGAATAAAGTAGACAGCGTAAACAAAGCTACAAGTCCTAAAAGTGTCATTTCCTAATGGTGCTGATGGCTTTTCAATAAGTTCACTGTAAATTTTGGTTCACTGCAACTGCCTAAGCCATTTAAACGTATAGAACTATGAGTGGATACATTCTAATTAATCTGAATAGCTTTACAACACACCTGCTGCTGTTGGGGTAGTTTCTTACCAACATTCAAGAATTCTAGTCTCATTGGATACATGTACAGTTAACAGACTGAGCAGTGCTTACTATACATTGTGTTTGTTTGCTCAAACAAACAGTTTTGGTTAATTTGATTGGCGATAATTAGCAGTGGTATATGGAATGCACACTTCGTCCTATTTGGGGTTCGTCGACTGAATGCACCATCATTCCCAGTGGGTGATGGTGTTCCCACTGGTATACTCGAATTCTGCACCCATCGTTTGGAATGTCAAAGCATTACAATAGTGACGTATCAGCCATTATTTTTGTTTTCAGGTTAATTTTACGTTCCCCGTTGATTGATTATGTTGGACCTAAACGCTCCATCACTGCTGATATGTGTGGGCTCCTATTACGGACCAGGATTAACGTAACATAATCATTCAACCGGACATGCAAAATTAACTTGAAAACAGATGAAAACATTAGTATCAGTTGAGATTCTATTACCAAAATGATGGTAAGAATAGTATTTTTTCATTGGTATAATATCAAGTATATGGAGGCGACAAAAGGGGGCGCTGGTATTCCGTTCGTTATTCATTAGGAAGAAGTCTCGTTCATTATCTATTTTTTTAAAACAATTGTTAAGAACTCAGAAACTTCGCAACCAACGGATACGTTACAGGAGATTTATTGACCAAATAGTATACTTAGTTTGTGAATGAGAAGCCTTTACAAAGTAGGTGTATATTACAGTACTTCAGGGTGAAGAGAATAAAGTCCAATAAATGTGAACAGTTTTACAGTTCTGAATAGTAACAACAATTCACCATTTTCGACCAAAGAATGGTAAACATAGTTGAGTACAATGAGACTTATATATGCAGGACACAACAAACCATACGTTTGTGCGTGATTTTTTTTCTTAAGAGCATCTTGAGTTAAATAAAAAATCTATGAATAAGTGAGAACAGTTAATGAATTAAAGGTCATGTTTTTTTTTTACCAGTTAGGTCAGCTACAAAAAAATTGAGATCTTAAAACTTAAATTAACTGAGACCTCGAGAATATTCCAAAGTTCATCTAAGAACTCTATAAAAAAGATGATGTTTTGATTTAAAAGCTTCTATGCGCAGTACATCTGACACCGATGATTTATATTGTAGGATGTGCACACATGCCTAGTCGGCAATTCACAGAATGAGTGTTCATGTCTGGTTACTGTTACATAAAACAGCATTGAAGACTATGGAGATCATAAGAATAGTTTATCTTGATTTGAAACAAATATTCTTTGGGTACCCTCAGATTTCTTACTTTTTGAACTTATTTTATATGGTCTTCAGTTTTGTCAATATCACGCTGTCGTATGCATAATGTTTTAAGCTGTAACTCTACAAATGATCTGTGATGCTCTGCAGTTCAGTGTCACAAATGATTTCTGTTTATAGTTCACCATATTGATTATTTTCAAAATAGTGTACTACCTAGTCATTTCAAACAAGAGAATACTAATTTGTATGTTTTTGTATGTAGGCGTGAAGTTAGCCCGTTAACTACCTAGTTAAATCGCTTCACGGTATCTTTATGCAGCAGAAGTCCTGGTTCTTAAATGATATAATAACAGTGATGACAGAAATTTCAGGGGTATTCGGAAATTAGCTTTGCACTCACCAATCGTCCGCATGACATTTCGTAATTCAAATGCCTCCAAACTGCCGGTATGACCTTCGTCAAACTTTTTGAATATAGTCTGAAAAAGAAAATGTGTACTTTAGGTAGAAAAAAATTTTTCAGGTGATTTAAACGCATACATCACACTTAAATATTTTTGGATTTTTACCTGGAATGATTTACTTCTCAACACTAATATATGTGGATATTCTCTTTGCAAGAAACAATACACATGGTGTTTGTTGTTAAATAACTCAAGTTTATACCCCACAGGTTTGATTTTATACCTTTATGTGTTAAAGTGTGACACTGGTGCGGTGATACTTGAGCTTATAAGAACTATTGACGAATTCATTAATTATTATCATCATCATTCCCTTGGGTTCTCAATGGGACGTAGGACTTCAACTGCGTATCTTCATTTCACTCCGTCATCTACAGTCTGTTTTTAGCTGTTTCCTCAACTGTGCATACATTTTCATTTCCTCCCCACTCGATCTCCTCCATGTCACATTCCGACACCTAACTCGTCGTTCCCCATTTAGGTTTCACTTGGGGGTCTGTTTGGTGTCTGATGTCACTCAACAGTCCTCTCAGCGTATGTCCACTTCCATCTGCATATTTGTTGGGTGATTGGTTCGTCTTCAGAATTTCTTGTTGTTCATCCTTTCTTGTCCCTTGGAAATGCTTTTGGTGACATGTACATCAAGTATTTAAATCATACAGAATCACTGAGTGACGTGACATTTAGGTTGAAAATCCGAACCTTGTTCCTTTTGCTGAGTGCAGTAGATTATCATACTGACTTCAGAGTAACAAATCCATAGCTGATGATATATCACTCCATCAATCTATGGTTGTATATATAACACCTGGAGGTTAAAGTAAAATAGATACTAAACTGATCCAACCGCACACATACTTTTAGTACTCAGTTGAATTAGCGGTGCTTTGATTTCCCAAAAGCATCAATTGCCTAAACAGCCAATTTTAACAATATCCATTTTTTAAATATATGATCAGTATTTTAGCCTCAATCTTCTGGAAATGCCTTAGTTTTGTATAAACAAACGTTTCTAGTGAATTCTCCCCCTCCCCACCTTCTGTTTAGTGCAATAATCCTAATCCTGTTACATGCTAAACTTTGAGGATATCTGTTTACCCCCAATTTGAAAGCAAATATCAGAAGAAACAGTTATGTAATCCACATTCTACTCTAGTACTAATTTTACTACGTATGTTTAAAAGCGACACTAGTATATATATATATATATATATATATATATATATATTTGTATTCCTTTACGTTCCCAGTGGAACATAGGGCTTCAGGCTAGAGCTTTGAAGTTTCAGTAGCAGTGGTGTTCATTTTTACGGCACGGGGTTGCTGGCCTCATGCCAAACCTTCCCTCTTTACCCGTCTTACTACTGGCATAGTGAGTTAAAGGAATGCATCAGCTGGCGATCGAACCCCAAACCAAATACGTGGTTGGCGAGGATTCTACGGATGTGCCATCGACGCACAACTAGTATATATACTACAAGACACAACCATTTTCGGTCTTCTAATCAATTCTTGAAATATAAGAAATACAATAGTTATGAAGACACAAAACTATGTATAGTTAAAAGCGTAATACAGAATCCTGATGATAAGAACTGAACGAGAATGATCAGATTCAAATTTGTGGTCAACAGACAGACAGTTGAATCACTTCCTGCAGATGAAGTTATAGCTTGCTGCAGTCAATACACCATATATCAGAAACTCACTCTACACAGACGTCAGTAGCGATACCCAACCTTCTCCCACCATTTTCGAGCTTATTGTCAGGTCTATTTACACTAGACGAGGTTTCGGAGAGTGCATCTTTTAGGAATCGAACTATTTATGACCTCTTAATCATTAGTGAAAATCATTGTCATCTCTTTAATAAAACTTGGCAGAGATGCGTGGCTTCAGCCAGTGGATTTCAGACTCGAATCTTTCTATATCTATCTAAGTCATCACAATAAATAATATGGCTAACTGAGTTCTGACGAATTCCTAAAAACAGAAATATTCATAATCTAAGAGAAAAGAAACTCAGTAGAATATTTTCACCTGCCTAATTCAATTACCATCATTAACCGTCAGTCAGTATTAATCTAAATGTATCTTTTTTTTCAAACAAATAAATTCGATTTTCGCAGTAATAAAAAACAAAAAAAAAGAATTAATAAAAAAGGAGTAGTGAATCAATCAATACAAGAGAAAAAGAAAAGATGAAACAGAGGGATGTAGGCGTGTGTGTGTGTGCATTTATGTGTTTGGCATTCATTACCTTCCAAATGCGTAATTCCATCCACAGTTTTTTAAATTCTTGGAAGCCTAGACCACCACTTAAATCAGCCTATATTAAAACATTGTATGAATAATATTTCGAAGAATTAAAAAAATATATATATGCACCATATGGTTAAGGGATATAAATAGCTTATTTTATAATAATTTATTGTATTTTGTATTAAATAAAGCATGTGTGATGAAGGAGAGAATGCATTAGGCTAATGGGTATACTGGTCTTAGAAGTTATTTACTTTTCAGCCTCTGGTGAATCGTAGATTCTAATTCCAACTTGACTACTTAAGCCTCTTTAGCAAGATAGTATGGTTAACCTTTGCAATATGAATGTAGTTCATTGTTTGTTGGACTGACAAAAAAACTCTACAAGATTTGGACTTCGCGGATTGGTTTATGTTTTGATGTCACACAAACTCAAAGATCTATAGATGAAAAAAAATAAGATTCGAACTTTCAGCAGTAATGTCAAGTTAGTCAGAGCTTCTATATGGTTAAGAGACTTGACGCATGAGTCATGAAAAGCATATTGAACATGATTCACACCTTTATCAACAAATGCCTTCTTTTCATACTTGCAGATCAGATGGCCAGAACGTTCCGAGGGCTTCATGCTAGGGCTTTGAAGTTTCGGTAGCAGTGGTTTTATTTTTACGGAGTGAAGTTGCCATCCTCACGCCCAACCTTCCCACTTTAATGGCCTTACAACCGGCTCATGGAGGTTTAGGAGTGCATCGGCTGAGGATCACGCATCCCGGACCAGGTGCATGATTGGCAAAGATTCTACCGTTGAACTACCGACGCTAAATTAGCAACGTGGAACTCAAGGAACGAACTAACCAAGAAGCAATAGCTCAAAAATTATCCCGAAGAAAATGGAGATGCATCGAACACACTCTGAGGAGACGGTTGAGTGACACCAGGTGCCAGGACACTGCTTGAGTGGAACTGGAATGGGAAAAGACGAGTTGGGCGTCCGAGAGTAACATTGAGGAGATCATGTGAGGAGGAGATGAAAGCCTGTCAGTAATCAAGGAGCCGAATGTTGTAATCGTCAAAAAAGTGAAAGTTTGATTTTCCAGGGAGAAACTAGTCACCAAAAACGAAGTGAGATAAATATATATTAAATTTTTACAGGTAAATAGAATCTGCATGAATCAGCCATCAGTTTTTAGCATATGAAACTGCGGAGTACTATGTATGTTTAGTGAGATAGGTCTAAGCCTCACGACAAGGGACTACACGGCTTTGTGTTTGTTCGGTTCAAGATATCAATAATCAGTAGGCGGGATAATTTGAAATTCACTTTCGTGACTATTGACATTCATCTGCCGCCATGATATGTATCAGTGATCGATATCTACATTTATTATCATTGACGACAAATTTTCTAAGTGTGCAATTTTGTTGAAAAGTTTTGAATTTTCTAGATCTTATCCAATATGGAGTTGTGAATTGCCAAAAACACTTTTAGTTGTGTTTTTGAACAACATATTTGAAGACATCAAATTCACAAGAGAAGAAGAATTAGACAACAAAATCCCATTTTTAGATGGCTTAGTCAGGAGAATTAACAAAGGAAATTAAGAAACACAAGTATATGGAAAATCAACGCACACAGACCAAATACTCCACTATAGCAGCAATAACCCGATTAACCACAAAAGAAACTGTGCGCAGACATTGTTGAAAAGAATTTAAACACACTGCAGCACTCCAGTGTTGAAGAGAATGGAGGAAAAATACCTACTAACTGTCTTCAAAAGGAATGGATACCCTGACAATTTCGTCAAAAAGTTCCTTCTGCTAGAGGCCAGAAGAAAATTAATCCTACCACATATATAAAATATCTCTGAAATAACAGCTAGAATATTAAAACCGTTTCAAATAGATATAGCACACAAGCTAGCCAGCACAATCACTTTATTCGATATTGTGCAAACCGAAAGATCCAACAGGAAAGGAAGATAAAATTAATACAATTTACGAAATAAATAGTATGAACTGTAACAGACATTACATCGGTCAATGTTAGGTGTCACCTTCAAATCCGAATAGAAGAACACAAATTAGGTGTGAAAAGACATGATATATATCCTTTCCTATCAGTGCGTGTAGATAATTATGGGCACCAATTCGATTCGGATTATTTAGAAGTTCTAAATAGTGCCAGAGAATTCCTAGAAGCCTGGTACTCAAGTGAACCAGCGATTAACAAACATACTACTATAGACCAAATTTACCAGCTAATAAAAAGTAAATCACATGACAAGAAAGTTCAAATTCCAAGTCAATAAAAATGATCAATAGAGATGTTAATCAACTACCAATCAGGAGGATGGTTGTCAGGAGACACAGTTATGTCATTCATGGAGAATCCAAATGACTTCATTTTATACTAAAACCTGCATTGAAGATGTTGCCCAGAAGGACGACGAAAGCTTCGCAATTAAACCGACCAGCTCAGAGAACACAACTAATTCAAAAGCATCTCCAGTTTTTATCCAGAAATTTTAAGGGTAGCTTCAAATGACGTCTAGTCTATCTTCTATTAATGGTAATTTTGAAAAGTTTGGAATAACAAAAATCTAATTTCCACTAAATTTCTCAGCTTACAATGGATTGTAACCAGCAAAAATAGAAGTTCTAAAGTTTAGAGACATGATGTTATACATTACTAAGTGATTAGCATGAGTAGTTGGACACTGCTCACATCAATCACTAGTGCTGGCCTAGTCAGATCAAAGTGACGTAAATACCGGATAGTCGTTTTTTTTGGGTGGGTGGGGGCTGAGCTCATCAACGGTGTACTCGTTTTAATTCAGTTCAGAGCGTCGAACCATTTCAAACCACCCGAATTCTAGTTTGCTACTGGTTAATGTGTTAAACTAAATACTGACTAAAATTCACCTCGAGCTGTGTAAATTGTGAAATTAATCCTTAAGTTTGTCACGATAATTTTCTCTGTTCACAATGAAATCAAATTAATAAGAAAAAAAGAACCACAGTGGAAAAGGATACGTCCATTAGGGCCATCATACTTCTTGCAGTTTCTCTACTGAATCCCTCAAATGGAAAGTCTGTAAAAGGAAAGCAACATATAAAATAATTCAACAATTTGACTAACTAATCAAAGAATCAAAACACTGAAAAAAATTCAAACCTATTTGTTCCTTTAAAATGTTGTTTTTAGATTTCTCCACGAGTTTATTAATCATCTCTCCTGGTGACCTTGAACGTGACTGGTTGTTTTTGTGTGTTTTCACACAGCTCAGAGAACACAACCACATCAAAAATTAAAATGTTGTGTTTTACTTTTGTTTTAATAAAATTTTATTACCAGTTTGTATAGTAACACTGTGAAGGGTCCGATAACTAGTGGTATCATGGGTGAGAATATCTAAAGAGTTCCAGACTAGACCGAAACACCTGTCACATTGTTGTCTAGTTTTCTATAATTTTCTGAAATCATAGAAGTTCATAAATGTGAAGATGTGATTCATTGCATTAAACATTCGACTCTCACAACCAGCGATTCCCAGGGTCGAATCCCGCCCCGTTTACTTTACCCTGAAGAGCTGAGTAGTAGTATCATCAGCTTCTACACAGTAAGTATGCCTCATAATCTAGCACATTGAGAATCTGTTCCCGGTAGTTGATTTTTGAATCTGTTTAAAACTTATTAACTGAATGTATCTGGATCCAAATAAATAACAGTATCGATTTCCCAAGCAGAACACTGAGGTCCAGCTAACATCATTTCAAACAATCAAGTGTTAGGATATAATGCAACAGAAGAGATGGAACAATTACTATTTGGATAAGTGTTTAGAATATTATTCAAGACATCATTCACATAGCTAATTTTGTCATGTGCTACTGAGAAGATTTTGTAAGTAGTATATTGTGTGTGATGTTTTCTGCAAAAATATTGATTAGTGAAGCGACGAATTAAATTGTGGCGCGAAGAAATATAAGATCTTTGTAAAACAATATAGAAAACACGAAAAGAAGAACAATATAGAGAATATGTGCAAATAGAGATTTCAATTAGTAAGGTTTTTTTTGTTATGTCTGTACATCAAAGTGCCAATATACGCAAATATTATCCCCTTCTGCCATCAAAAACAACAGTCGATACTGATACAGGCTGATCAGTTCAGCTGATTGAAATTAGATTAAAATTACGAAGAAAATACAACAAGGAATTATAAGTTTAGGAAACATCTTTCAGTATATTTCCAGTAAAACAATACAAGGACGAGGACAGATGTAAACACTAACTAACTAATTACAGTTCAAATAATATTATTACTGACAATTCAGTCATAAGAAAGTGTGTGGATGTACAGATCAATAAAACAGAAGGTTAGCAAAATGCATAGATAGACAAACAGCCTTATTAACAAGTAAATATGACATGCATTTCTAGTGGGAAATAAGGCTAGAAGCCTAAGTTTTAAAGTTTCAGGAGTGGTGATGTTGTGTTTTTACCGGGTGTGATCACTAATTTCACTCCAAACCTTTCCTCTTTACCAAGCTATTTATCAGCTAAACGGGGTTTAGGATTGCGTCGGCCGTACAACAAATCCGGAGCACATAAGTGATTGGCATACATTCTATCACTGAAGCACTGATTCAAATCACACGAATCATATCAAAATATACTGTTTTTATTCGAAGTATTTCAAGAAGTAATCAACATTTCACGGTGTGTGCATAACCGAGAAGTAACAACTACCCGTACACTTTTTCATAGGCACACAAGAAGTAAAGCATGAATTCTGTCAAAAGCTGCACACTAGATAAGTTTATTTTAAATGTCATACAGTGATGCAGTAATAACAACTGGATGACGTTTCGAGCATATATGAGACTAATATTGCTCATAATTACATCGATTTTAGTCAGACGGTTTCATAATTTGTCTTATATATATTTTCTGTCTCTCCAAATTCCCTGATTGACAATTTCCATATCTTTGGTATAGGTGTTGTGTCATTTCGAATGCACGTATGCTGTGTTGAATCGATAAACAGCTAATGACCGATGTCGACTCATGATGAAATCCTAAAACCAATCAAATCCTTGCAAACTAACACTTGAACATCAAGTTGATGTTCACTAGCGATTGGCTCTATTCAGGTAGGTAGTTACCTGGGTCCTAGTGGTAAGTCGTAACCTCTGAGGTACAGCAGGTCGGGTGTGGGGACGAATACTCGCCGATGACAGCTGTCCAGTACTCCCAGGTTTTCCACTGTTCCTCTAACCAATATCAGATCACGATGAAATTCAATAAACAAAAATTCCGTGATTAACCTCTCTCTCTCTCTCTCCAACTAACTACACTCTTTTTTAATACTCTCACCCTGTCTCACCCACCCTATTTTGTCACTACATGCAAGTGAATGCAGTGCAACGACTGAGATTTTTTTCTAGGTTACTGAGCTTACTGGGGCTAATTATTTTAGGTCTAGCTAAATTTTATGTTCCAATAATCTAGTTGACCCCGGTCTACTAGTTTGACCTATGTAATTGACCTCACAGCCATTACATGGTATTTGGTAAATTATAATATTTTCCTCAGTTGGATCTATTGAGTCATTAAGCCAACAAAGTTTATCTCTGAGAGAGTTGGTTGGTTTAAATACCAACTTAATTCCAGCCTCGAAAGCTGTCTAGTTTACTGTTAAAGGTAAAACGCTCAGATATAGTCATTTTAACAGGCGACTGCAATGCTGTGCCAGTAAGAAAAGTATGTTAGTGGTACCTGTGGCCTTCCTTGTCAACGAATCAATCTTCCTCTAGAAATGCTTTCTTTTGGCAACGTGTTCATAACACTTTTTTAGGTAAGGCGTATACGCTATCTTCACGTGATGAGGGTGTTCTCATAAGAGTGAAAGGGTGACTGCAAATATTCGGAGCTTGCTAATCACCGGACTGTTAGACATGAAGGTTCACCTATGAGGGTTATAAAACTCTGTTTTCGAATCTATGGTGTATATGGGCTTCAGTATCCAAAGGGAATAAATCGCATATGGACCATCTGTTTGGGCTGCCAGAGTCTGTGAGAATACAGGTCCTGACGCTAATCTGCTGCATTGTAGAAGTCAAAGGCTTTGAAAGTAGTCCCATAGGGCGACCACCTGTTTCAATTTGGGTGTCTTGGCAGTATATATCAGCATTTGCACAAATATAATGGAATAAGAATGAATCAAATCTTCGCATGTACACGTATTCGCGTATTACAACTCAAGTGAGTAAACAATTATACTGAGGATGTAAAGTAATTAATTTACAGGGAATACCAATGACTGTGATGCACAACTCAACCTATTTAAACGTATACTTCCAAGGTGGAACGGCTAGATGTTATATAACACATATACGTAAAAAATTTAACATGAATATCCTATCATATGATTAACAGTTAACATCCTGAAATGCACAACAGTTTCTATACTATTACTACTGTGGTGTGTGCTACTGACACAATTTACCAGTAGTATATAAAGAGATATTGATCGGCATAAAAATATCAAATAGCAGGGAGATAGATTTGATGTCAGAGGAAAGAAATGATACAAAGTTCTGAAAGATACATGGGAGACGTGAAAGGTACACAAAGAAACACAATATGAAGGAAGGCCAGAAGTAGCACAACAGGACAGATAGTTTAACGATGTCAATAGTCTTTATATAATACTTGTGGTTAGCTGATGAATAAACACGTACCTAACTGGTCAATGAGTAACATTACTGAGAAGTATTACAAAACTACAACTCATAAGAATACCAAGTATATATATATATATATATATATATATATATATATATATATATATATATATATATATATATAAGGCATAACTGGTTACCTTTTGTGAATGCTTCATTTAGAATATCTTGTAATTGAGTATACGTGATTGCTCCGCTGGCACCAGCAATTCTGTTAAAGACAATTTCTAATCTCTCTATCAAATGATCATCAGCTGTTCTGAGTGGTTGACTGGGCTGCATAAAATAAGTTTTGATAAGAAACATGAACAACAGAAAGGACAGTACATCTTATATACTCTAAGCACGAACCGAAAGATCTACCTTTTAAAAGAAACAAATAATTTCAACAGTGCTACAGCCAGACATCCTGTTGATACGAGTTTTCTTTTTTTATTCCTTTACGTTCCCAGTGAAACATAGGGCTTCAAGCTAGAGCTTTGAAGTTTCAGTAGCAGTGGGTGTTCATTTTTACGGGACGGGGTTGCTAGTCTCACGCTCAACCCCTCCCCCCTCCACTCTGCCAGCCCAACTAACGGCTTAGCGAGGTAAACGAGTGCGTCGGCCTGGGACCGGACACCGGACCGCATCCATGGTCGGTGAGCATTCTACCACTGTGACACCGACGGGCTGATACGAGTTATGATGTCGATATCTTAAAATCCTTCAAGATAATTAATAAAGAACACAATTCAGTTTTGTCAAATGCACTGAAGCTATGACAAGGAAACATTCGGAACCTGATGATTTATGTGATCAAGCAAGTAGTTCTTTTTGGTCTGATAAAAGAATGTCTTAACTGAACTTTTTATTTGATTATGTAAACTTTTGGTCTAGCCTTTTTCGTTTTAATATATGTGTAAAACTTGGGCACTGTGGTAGTAGTATTTCGAACAAAATTTATTGTTCATAATCATATCATTTGTGATCACACGACTTTGAAATTTGAGTTTGATAGTTTTCTTTGTCTTCTCCTATTTGTCGTCGTTGGGGTAGTAGAATTCTCCAGATATCTGTGACAGGTGTTGAATCATTTCTATTACATGTATTTGCAGTTGATTCAATAAACAAAGCTTCTGTTCGAAAAATCTACCTATATCTTGTGTTCTAAGTACATAGAGCACATCATTTCGAAGGTAGAGGCAATTCAATTCACTTATGAATTGGAAAGTCAGGAAGGGGAACTTCCAATGTTAGATTGCAACGTAAAAAGGAAAGAAGATGGGAAGTAAAACACTAGTGTTTACAGAAAACCCACACACTCAAACAGATATTTGGATTTCCGACCATCCCATCCTATGTCAGTAAAAATAGGATTAGTGAAATGTTTAAATGACAGAGCACGAAAACTAAGTAGTACCAAGGAAAATCAAAGACAGGAAGTGATACACATAAAAGAAGCCTTGAAACATCATAACTACCCGGATAAATTAGTCAAGAAATATGTAAGTAAATGTAAAAATAAAATAAATAATGATAGTAGCGATAGTGATAATAATAATAATAACAATAATAATAATGGTAATAATATTAATATTAATGACGACACCAACAATAAGCAATCTAAATCGTCAACAGTAATTCCATACAAGGAAGGAACATCGGAAGCCTTACGCAAAATTTTTAACAAGGCAAAAATAAAAGTGTCATTCAAACCCACAAACTCAATTAGAAACAAGCTTTGTCAGTTAAAGGATCCTGTCGAACCTTTAAAACAAAACAATTTAGTTTATCTAATACCCTGTTGGAATGATTGTCAGGTCAAATACATAGGTCAAACTAGTAGAACAGGGACAGTCAGATTAGCCGAACATAAAAACCTACCAACATCTAGATTGGTCGACCCGACAAAGATAAGAAATCTAGAGAATAGTTCAGCTATAGCACTCACAACATGCAATTACACACAACCATACAATAGGATAGATGAGATAGGATGACAGTTTTAAAATCTAATGTCACAGGGTATATGGAGAGATTGATAACAGAAGCTTTGTTTACCGAATCAACTGCAAATACATGTAATAGAAATGATTCAACACCTATCACAGATATCTGGAGAATTCTACTACCCCAACGACGACAAATAGGAGAAGACAAAGAAAACTATCAAACTCAAATTTCAAAGTCGTGTGATCACAAATGATATGATTATAAACAATAAATTTTGTTCGAAACCTCGTCATCCAGTAAATAATACTGTTTCACTGTGTGATACCTGTTTCTTTTTGATTTGGAAGCCAAAAAAAATTTCATGTTTTGTTTCAGGGTCTAATCTAATTTTGGTTGAACTTACCATATTATTATGCAACTTATCAGTGATTTATCATCAACTCATCTATCTCTTATCTTTCTGACGTAACTTGTTTTTCAAAGTATGCCAGATGCCTTTACCTAACTTGAATCGTTTTTGTGTAAGATGTATATGGGTGTACACATTACGGGCATACTTTTGTTTAGCATCTTAGAATATCCTGTTACCCAATTCCATATTATATTTTCCGATACATTACATAAACTTAGTAGGCGTTTACAGGTTGTGTGCGACTGATAATAAACTGACGAAATGAAACGATGATATTATTACCTTATTCTGTACAGGTCGTAGTTTTTGAATTATTCTAATCTAAAGTAATCGAGGATGAAAAACAAAGTTAAGAAGAAATAGAAGTGGACTTCTATAGCCTATATTGAATAAGACTGCTTTGCTTTCTCTCACAGAGAAGGTTTCAGGGTTCGAATCCCACTGTGTTAGTTGTTTGAAGCACGAATCGAATCATACCTTCACATAGATTATTATCATGACGATTTAATCGGTCAGTGATTTATTGTCAGACAAGATTCTTTCTGTGTAAACACAAAAAAGTTTGTTTCAATAGAGAAGCTCAGGTGGACGACTTTAGTGTGGTTGCATTATCTGAGCTGGATGATTTTATTACTAAGCTTTCATTGTCCTACTAGACAACATTTTCTGTTGAGGGAGAGTAGTCATTATAGATAGGATTTTATTTTGATAATTGACACAGTGTTATACAGTAATATTTACTGATGACTACGTTCCAAGCACAAACTATTGCTAATAATCATTTCAAGTTACTCACACAACTTTTCCTTCATTTATATATACATGTGTGGAATCGATTAGATATTTGAATAAAAATCAATATGTGATAATGTACATTCAGAAATAATAATATTAATGTTATTGATCAATTACAACCAGATGGGAAAAAAGACGAGTGTTTTTATAGTCAAAATAAGTAACTTGTTAGAATGTCATAATGTATGTGAATTGAAATAGAATTTTAAGATTATTTTTTATCCTCTTCTGATTTGAGCGGTGATAACAATATATTCCATATTTCTGGTATTTGCATTGAGTCATTTCTGTTGCATGAGTTGGGTGGGTGCAGACTCGATGAACCAGGATTCAGTAATCATTCTTTCTCTCCACCTTTTGACTCTGTCCCATCCTATTGTGTGGTTGTATGTTAATGCATGCAGTGCAATGTAATGCTGAGCTTTTTTTTCTAAATTACTACTTATCTTCTCGGGTCAACCATTCTTACCTTAGCTAAATTCTTATGTCCGACAATCTGACTACCCCTGACCTACTAGTTTAACCTGTGTAGTTGACCTCACGTACATTATAACATTCTAACAATAACACTAGTATTATTTCTGAATAGACATTATCCTATATTAATTTTTATTCCAACATCTAATCGTTTCCACACATGTACATACATGAAGGAAAAAAAGTTGTGTGAGTAACTTGATATGATTATGAGTAGCAATAATTTGTGCTCGAAATGTCATCACTTAATATTACTGTACATCACTGTGTGATTTATCAAAATAAAATCTCATCTATAATGGAGTTATACTCTACCACTGTGCCCAAGGAGAATAGTCATATTTGATATTCAGTTATAGTTGTTATTATTATTGTTCCCTTGGGTTCCTAGTGGAACATAGGGCTTCAACTGCACGTATCCACTTGCCACTTCTGTCTTCCTTGTGCTGTACTTTTCACCTGCATCCATGTTAGTCCATACTCTTTCAAATCCTCTTCATACGATCTCCTCCATGTCACCCTTGGAATTCCCACTCGCCGCTTCCCTTTCGGCCTGGTTCCAGTCGACCGATGGCCTGACGCGCGATGTCACCAACCGGCCTCCTCAACGAGTGTCCAATCCATCTCCACTTTCTCCTGCATATTTGTTGGTTGGCGATTGGTTCTTGTTTTGTTTCTTCCCATAATTTCTTGTTGGTGATTCTTTCCGGAACGGCCATCTGATCTCTAGTATAGAGCCAGCGAAGACAGCTGTTGATGAAGGTCTGCAACAGGCTGTTGGAAATATTCTTTGTGATCCACCCGCCAAGTTTCTGATCCTTTTAGAAGAACGGACTGACTTGACGTTGTTTGTATTGAAAATCCGACTGAATTTTGTTGTTGATGCTGGCTGAGTGACGAGGATTTCCAGATTGGTTTAGGGGTGAATAATGTGTTTCTCGTCTTCCCGATTTTCGCTCGATTTGACATCCTCGTCCGTTCCGACCTCCTGTAGTTGAGATAATGCTCCCTAGATAAGTGAATGAGTGAAGTAACCTCTTTCAAATCCCTCCCGTTGATGGTGATTGGCGCTGAGTGTTGCTGTTGTTGTTGTTAGTTGGTTATTTTCATAACCTCCGTCTTGTCTATGTTCACTTGGAGTTCTGTCTTTGCTGCTTCTTCGACTTTTTGGGATATCCCAGACCGACGTTATAGTTATACCTACGTGATTTATCTACTATTTATCACATCAACACTTCATTAGTGTAGACTAACATAATAAACAGATATCAAATGAAGAAATATCTTAGTGGTATAATCAATAATATACTTGATTACACTTACAAGATCTGAATCAATAGTAATCTGTGTAACATCATCCAATTCACTGAAATTATAGAAAATAATAATGGAGTAGTATTAGTGCAAGAAATTTAATAGTACATATTTTTTAATTATGACACGAGAGATAAATATGTTTCATTTGTTGTTACTGTAATACAAACAGTACTGAAATACTTTGATCTAGCCTGATTTAAATACATTTAAAGGTCTTTTATAATAAGTTTCTTCATAATATAACCAACTTGTGACAGGATTGCAGAGTAAATAATCTTAAGATTGGAGTACAATCCTAGAGAAGGAAGTCAGGTTAACTGATCAGTACATACAACTAGACTGACTGATGTAGAGGGAATGTGTTATGCAATTGCTATTTCAAAAAGGAAAAACACAATGTTAACTGAAGTACAGTGAAGTTTAAAGAAAGTTACTAATGGCTAGTCGAGGAAGTCACTTACTGTTCAATTATAAACCATGTAGATGATTACAAATCGTAAAATTAAAGACTATTTGTAATAGACAACAATGGTTTCAGTTGTGCTGAATTCTTTGAGATGGATAATCTGATCTTAAGACTTTTATTTTCTTCCTACACATTATTACTACCTATTTGGAATAAACTGAGATGTGTAAATTTCTCTATATGTGGCTTAGTATCTTTCTGATGAGCTTGGAGAAGACTGTTTGTTTCCGTGGTCACTGTATATTTTCTCTACCTATTTAACTGAATTGAATCCTAATTTTATTCAAATTTTATCCAGTACATTATGGGTTATTATGTTCCAACCAACAAGGGCGTTTGGTAAAAGGTGTTCAGCTTACAACTTTGTCGTAGGTGTGATCCCGTATGCGGTCATCGGTGTACACAACTGCTGAATTCATTCCTTTGCGTTCCAAGTAGAACATTGGAATTCAAGTTTGTGCCCAGTAGTTGTGGTTTTGTTTTTTTGTGGAGTGAGGTTGTCAGCCTCATGCCAAAAACCTTCTCACCTTACTGGGCTCAATATCTGCTAGGTGAGGTCTAGGAGTGTGTCGGCCAGGAATTAAAACCAAAAGATGTGAGTGGTTGGCGTATACTAAAACGTTCAGTGCTTCTTTTATTTTCAGTGACTCCCTAACTGATATCAGCTTATATCAGACTCTACGGAGCAATAAATCAGATTCTTACAAATCCAATATCTGAAACTAATTTCATTGATTTTGTATTTCTTGATTGATTGATCTGAGTGTCAAGCTAGTCACACTTGGTATCTCCTCATTACAAATTTTGTGATTTCGACCAATCAGAATGGTTGCTACAGTGGTCATGTGAACATTTATGTGAGTGAATCTATGTCATGGCATTCAATTTAAGTTCAAACAGACGAGGTGGATGTTTCGGTGGTTCAATGGTAGGATGTCAGCCAAAAACACGGTTGGTGCGGGTTCAACTCCTGACTGACTCACTTCTAAGCCTCTCTTAACCAGTAGTAGATCCAGAGAATAGGGAAGGTTGGCATAAGGCTAGCTGCCACACTCTGTAAAAATCACCATCACTACTGAAACTACAAAGCTGAAGCTTGAAAGCCACTAAGTTCCACTCGGAATGCAGTCAATTTTAGAGACTATCTCCTTTTTTCATCATACACTTTAACTTGCCAAGTATAAAGGATTTGAGCTAAAGGGTTTCTCTGTAGGGCTTGAGTGTTCTTGCTGCAATCTTTGAGGAATTCACTTCGTATTATAATATGGTCCTTCCGTTGGTTTTTATAAGTGACTTTGACCCAGTTTGTCTGACATTCACAGTGCCTATTACAATTTCGATTTTGCCATCTGACTTTGGTTTTGTCCAACGGTGTTTGCAGTTGTCTGTATAAATCCCTCTCCTTCTCTTGGTTCGCGTCATTTGTAGGAGCGTGGAATTGTTAATTAGTAACTTTCCTTCATGATTCTGGAGGAGATCGGTTGCCATTGGGTGCGAAACTTCGATACTACTGGTGACACAACATGATAGCCACACACTGTGAAGACTTAGGACATTTACATATACAAAATTACACAGATATAACATGTTCATCTTCTACCTGACTAGAAATATTAACTCATACTATTGAGAAATTTCAGCAGTATATGAAGGTATTAATCAACTGACTAACCCTGATGTCAGCAGACTGAAGTCCACCAATCAAATAATTTGTGAGTGGCCTACATTAGATGGCCAACATAACTACTACGCATCTGTGAGCAACTTGTACGTTCTTTGATTGGAACTACAACCGGGTAAACGATGTTTAGGAGTGAGTCGACCAGAAATCGAATCCGGACTACGTATATATATATATATATATATATATATATATATATATATATATATATATATATATCAATTCCCCATAGCCTTTTTTCCTATCTATGCTTCTTAATTATTACATCAACACCAAAATCTTACGGCAGATAACTTTTGATTGATTAATGCAAACAAAAGGAAATGAAGTAGAACTTTCAAATTATGCTTACTTTGAATCACAAGTACGTTCAGAGAAAATGCGAAGCATGAACTTAGCTTCTTCATTTGGATTAAATGTACACGGTACGATAACATAATGTCCAGGCTTTAATCTATGCCTTCCGGTTACTTCACGCATATTAATAAATATAGGTGATCGAGCTACTGATGAATTAGTCATAAAAAATCTTCTATCCAATAAAAGATTATTTGAAGCTGATGGAGGCATCTGTTTTAAAGGATAATCATTGGAGAAAAGAAAAAGTTATGGTGAGGTCCTATTTTGGATGTTATCATCAATTCAGACATAGTAAAAGGAGATAAACATTTCGATTCACACAGTGAACAGTAGATACCGTGTTTTAAAAGGTAACAAAAATTTGGGATAATATTTGACCGGTTCACTTTTAGTCGGTTGAAGAGAGCATGATGTGTACAATAGAAGACCTGTTAGATTTTATCACACACCAGCATCAGTGAGGGGATCATTGGACAACTGTTGTTTTGCTCTGCTCTGAGACTCTTCAGCCGTAAGTACTCAACATCTTTAGGTCACGAGGTGAATACTTCGACCACTCAGATGATAGAACGGAATGCAATGAACCGAGAATTCCAACTTCTGTCACTACGCGACAAATAGTGTCACTATCAACCAACTTCATCGTCCTCCCACTCAAATTGGTGGAGCTCACTGTTCTCGACTTTGCATTACAACTCTAGGCAATTCGTCTCGTATTCAGTTGATAATAAGCGATGGCAACAAGTGTCCGGTACTCCATGGTTTTTAATGATCCTCTAACAGATCTCGGTTCGTGATAAAATCTACCTGATAATCTGTTTAAATAACACTTTATGAGTTACGCAAGGCTACTTCTTCTTCTTCTTCAAAAGTACACATTAGTTGGTTATTTCTCTTCCGAAAAACCGATACTTTTGATTTCTGTTCTTAATAGTTAGAACTGAAAACTTTAGTTATTAAATATTACCATACTACTGAATAAAATTAAATTCGGTTTTGTTTTGTCAGTGAATTCAATATTAGTCAAGATTACTTAAAACAGTTGACCTGAGGTTCTAGTGGGAAGCCGTGACCAGTAGGGTACAGCAGGTTGAAGATGAGTCAGTAAATCATCGAAGAAGACATTGAGAAATGGTCGCGCTATGTCGCCAGATACTAGCTTGCTAGGCTACTAGCTTACTAGTTTTCTCGCCGGTCCCAAGCCCGGGTAAAGAGGGAGGGTTGGGGCGTGGTGCTAGCAACTCCACCCCTGTAAAACAACCAAATCGCTACAGAAACTTCAACGAATAAATATATTAAAAATTCTAAAAACATAAGCAATAGCCTTACTTTTCGCTGGAATCGGGGAAGTGAAATGACGCAGGCTGGTGAAAGCCTTCGGGAAGCCAGTCAGCCGATGTGCCTTCTTTCGATGAAAGCAAAAGTAAGGATGGGTACCTGGAATGTTCGCACAATGTACGAAACTGGAAAGGCTGCCCAGATAGCCGCTGAAATGAGAAGGTACAGAATAGAAGTGTTGGGAATCTGCGAGAGCAGATGGAACGGAACTGGAAGGTGCCAACTACCTACTGGAGAGACAGTAATCTATTCCGGCCACCTAGAGGACAACCATGAGCACACCGAGGGAGTGGCCATCATGATGTCACCAACAGCAACCAAAGCTCTCATGCAGTGGGAACCAATCTCCTCCAGGATAATGACAGCCAGGTTCAACTCAAAAGGAAGGAAAGTTACAGTCATTCAATGTTATGCGCCTACAAACGTCTCAGAACAAGAGAAGAAGGAGGCGTTCTACAGACAACTACAAGCAATAATGGACAACGTCCCAAATGGCGATATCAAAATCCTGATGGGCGACATGAATGCGAAGCTGGGACGAGACAACACAGGAAGAGAACTCACCATGGGTCGTGAGGCCCTCGGTGAAATGAACGACAATGGTGAACTCTTCTCAGACTTCTGCGCCTTCAATGATTTGGTGATTGGCGGTAGTGTGTTCAAACACAAGGATATACACAAGACGACATGGATTTCACCAGATGGAAACACCAAGAATCAAATAGACTTCATCTCAATTTCAAGAAAGTGGAGACGGAGCCTACTGGACACAAGGTCAAGGAGAGGAGCAGATGTGGGTTCAGACCACTATCTAGTAGAAGGGACTTTCAAGGTGAAACTAAAAGCCTCGAGGATAGCTGGGGATAGGCCACAATGCAAGTTCAACACTCAATTACTGAAGGACACAACCACAAAAGACACCTTCACTGCAACTGTCAGAGCAAAGCAGGAAACACTACGCGACATCACTGAAGAATCATGCGTGGAAGAACATTGGAAGTCTCTGAAGGCGATTCTCAACGAAACGTGTTCAACGGTTCTAGGAAGAAAGAAGAGACAAGACAAGGAATGGCTCTCAACGGACACTTGGAAATTAATAGAAGAGAGGAGAATGGTGAAAGAGAAAATGATTCAATGCAAGGACGGACAGGAGAAGGAGACGATGAGCTCAACTTACAAAGCATTGGACAAAGAAGTGAAGAAGAGTGCTAGGAAGGACAAAAGACGATTCTACGACAATCTAGCTACTGAAGCTGAGAAGGCAGCAGGCAAAAGGGACCTGAGGACACTATATCAGATAACCAAATCTCTATCCGGGAAGAGACCAACACAAGCGAAACCTATAAAAGACAGCCAAGGGAACCCAATTACCAAGGAAGAAAAACAGATTAAACAATGGGCGGATCACTTCAAAGGACTCTTGAACCGACCATCACCTGCAACCCGTCCAGAAATACCAACAACAGCGCGCACACAACTGCAAGTTGACACCAATCCTCCAACGAGAGCTGAAGTCTTGAACGCAATCAAACTTCTGAAAGCTGGAAAAACAGCCGGACCAGATGGAATACCCCCTGAAGCACTGAAAGCAGACCCAGAGACTACAGCAGACATGCTGACTCCATTATTGCAAAAGGTCTGGAAGGAGGGAAAGGTGCCTACTGACTGGAGGAAAGGTTACCTCGTGAAACTACCAAAGAAGGGCGACTTAGGACTCTGCAAGAACTGGCGAGGAATCATGCTCCTATCGACGCCAAGTAAAATCCTGAGTCGCATCATCCTGGAGAGATTAAAGGACGCACTGGAGACAGAACTCCGACCAGAACAAGCTGGATTCAGGAAAGGCAAATCATGTACTGACCAAATTGCAACTCTACGCATCATCATCGAACAAAGCATGGAATGGCAATCAAACCTCTACCTCAACTTTATAGACTTTGAGAAGGCCTTCGACAGCGTTGATCGTGAAGTAATTTGGAAATTACTCGAGTACTATGGCGTACCCCAAATATTCATCAACCTTATTCAACAGCTGTACGACAACGGCACCTGCCAAGTGATCCACAACGGAAGACTCAGCGAGGCGTTTGGAGTAAACACAGGAGTCAGACAAGGGTGCTTACTATCACCAATGATATTCCTAATTGTGGTGGACTGACTGGATTATGCGTCAGACAGTGGGAAACGAGAAGACAGGAATATCCTGGACCGACGTGAAGAACCTAGAAGACCTGGATTTCGCGGATGATTTATGTTTGATGTCACACACAATCGAAGACTTACAAGCGAAAACCGACAAACTGGTCGAAGAAGCAGCCAGAAAAGACAGGACTCCAGGTAAACATAGACAAGACGGAGGTTATGAAAATAACCAACCAACAACAGCAACAACATCCAACGTCAATCACCATCAACGGGAGGGATTTGAAAGAGGTTACTTCATTCACTTATCTAGGGAGCATTGTCTCAACTACAGGAGGAGCGGACGAGGATGTCAAATCGAGAATCGGGAAGGCGAGAAACACATTCATCAGCCTGAAATCAATCTGGAAATCTTCGTCACTCAGCATCACCAACAAAATTCGGATTTTCAATACAAACGTAAAGTCAGTTCTTCTATACGGATCAGAAACTTGGCGGGTGGGTCACAAAGAATATTTCCAAAAGGCTGCAGACCTTTATTAACAACTGTCTTCGCTCAATACTGAAGATCAGATGGCCGGAAAGAATCACCAACAAGGAATTATGGGAACAAACAAAGCAAGAACCAATCGCCCAACAAATATGCAGGAGAAAGTGGAGATGGATCGGACACTCGCTGAGGAGACCGCTGGGTGACATCGCGCGCCAAGCCCTCGAGTGGAACCCGAAAGGGAAGCGGCGTGTGGGACGTCAGTGAAGGGTGACATGGAGGAGATCGTGTGAAGAGGAGTTGAAAGAATATGGATTAACATGGATGCAGGCGAAAAGTATAGCAGAAGACAGAAGAAAATGGAGACGTGCAGTTGAAGCCCTATGTTCCACTAGGAACCCAAGGGAGCAATAATAATAATAATAATAATAATAATAATGTCGTGAATTGGCAGAAGTTAGAATTCAAGGACCAATGGATCGGGTCCCAGTGGCTCAATGGTCTACGAGCTCGCCTTGTAACCAGAAGGTCCTGGGTTCGAACCCTGGCGGTGGGTGGGCACTGATGAAGAGTCCCAAACTAGGAAATAACAGCCGTCCAGTACACCCAGGTTTCCCAGTGGTTCTCTAACTGATGTCAGCTCGTGATGAAATCCTCCACTCAATAAAACACATATATTTAGAACTGCTATCAAGGGTTTTGACTGTTATTTAAGATAGTAAAATCACTGTGTGAGCGGTCCGTCGTCTCTTCTGATTTTCACATGCCATTTGTGGTATTTTTGTTGTGGTGTTTGATGTTGTAATTAGCGATTGGAGTGATAGAAATAATATGCCGAAGGAAATGGAGATGGACCGAACACACGCTGAGGAGACAGTTGAGTAGCATCATGCGTCAGGCCAACGCTCAATCGGAACCCAAACGAGAAGCCACGAGTTAGTTGAGCATGGTTCTAAGAGTGGGATGGAGGACTTCACGTGATGATAAGGTGGCACTTTGCAGGCGATTGTTGAGCCAGTTAAAGACGACTGCAAGATACAGGATATATTGGAGACGTGCTGTTGAAGCCTAGTGTTCTACTCGGAACTTAAGCGAATAATAATATAATAATTAGTTTCGTATCCACTCTCACTTTGCAAAGTTTAATTATAAGGTCGTATGAAATACTATAGAGAAATAAGGATTAAAATTTGCCAACTTTTAAGTAGGTAAGAAGTAGAAAGATGGAGATTTCCTTTCG